ACTCAAGGGAGAAAAGGCAAGCACCCGGTGTTTTGTCTGTACCTTTGCACAGTGATACAGGGGAGTTTGCGGACGTGTGCGATTGAAAGCGAGCTAAAATAGAGACTAGGCTGTGCCCTCGGTGGATATCATATGATGTTTGATGGAAAACAGCGACTCATCGACAGCTGCGTCATGCGGGCGCTGAACTTGGGCCATAAATATTTCCCTGCAACATTGGGTGATTCCGCAGCGGTTGGGGTGGTGTCAGATGTAAATGATGAGGAGAATGACATTGGTAAATTGTTATAGCGCCGGGCGATGAAGAAGAAAAAAGTTGGTCAGCGACGTCAAGTTGCCGAGTAAGGGACCGCATGCGATGCTATCGCCAGCTGTCGGATACCTTCTGATCGATCGGCGTTACTCAGTTTTTGACACCGATGCAGCATCATTCATTATCAGTTGACAATCATCCATTACGCTGCTCTTCGTCCCCTGAATGCCAGCCTCACTTCTGTGCCGTCAAAGAACAACGGGGCATGTTCAAGATACATCAAAATGAAATGCTGACTGCTGCAATGACGCTTTCACCACTGCTGCCAGCCAACAATCTGAATTCTTTTCACCAGGGGAAATCCAACAACATCCGCATATGATCTTCAACCCGCTAGAACTACAGCATAGATAAAATTGGAGCCGAAGAAACTTCAATGAGCTTAATTTCTGCTAAAAATGCCACATACCGTCNCACCAAGCACTGACTTCTGACTAGTCACGTCTGCGACTCCAATACCTCACGTCCGTGACCAGCACTCTCTCACTCGACCCCCCACCCACCGAACCCACCGGCCCCGCCTCCACTACCACCAGGCCATTAACCGCCCCTCCCGCCACACGTCGTAAATCAAAAATTCGGCAACTTACCACGCCATAAATTACTGACGGACCACTTCCGATTGGGCGGCATACTGTATTTGATCGGAAGATCCAAATCGTCTACCGTACTTCTTAACTGATTACTCGAATGATCTGTCCTATATTCAACTAATTGCCATGCCACCATATTGTGAGTATCGAAATTTTGTTGTTATTGATTAGTTTACTCTTAAAAGTGATGATCAAATTTTATTTTTGAACACAGTGGCGCATAGAGCGTCTTTGTGAGTATGATAAACGGCTTAACTGCTCAGTTTTTGCCGGCCATCGCCGTTATCTTCGGTCTGTCGAGGTTCCACGGTCGAATGTATTATATGGAAAGGAGGGGTATGTGTGCGTGAGTGAGTCGAAAGAACGCTTCAGTATCAAATGGATAAATCGAATTGATAGTCCTTAAGCCTCTCATCAATGACTAGAATAAGACTCGAGTCTGTAGCCAGAACACTGGTGATCATTTTGACGTAACACCTCTGTGTCTTTGCAGCTTCTCCTCATCGAACGCTTCTGACGATGTTCCAACTGCTCATCGTCGCCGTCGTCGCACTTCATGCAGCTATTCTGGCACCGGAAACTGAAGCTGCTCATGGAAGTGAGTTTCACTTAAGGGATCATGACAAAGAGCCGGTTACTGTCTCTCAGAACCCCTCATTTTCTTCTTCTTTGATCTCTGTCACACAAACATTCCACCTCGAAGCGTACGCAATTTTGTGTAAGCGTCAGTAAAATTAATTGTGCTGATCAGGCACGAGAAGTCTCAGCCTCCGAGCAGTGGTTCTCATTGCTAGCTCGTACTGATCCACCTCCTGCTACTCGTCTTCTTTTTCTTTGATTCCTCTCTAATGCTATCGCGTTTTTCGTTGGCTACTTGACCCATGGTCAATGTCAAGTATCAATTCTCGATATGTACTTCTGCTCTTTGATACCATTATGTATGATCACATTCTATTGATTGAACACTCAACGAGGTCTCTTTGCTCTCGTTGCCCTTCTGTTAATAGTCCTAAAGTGCATGTATTGCTGAAGAGCTTGATTTCAAGTGCACATCACCTGTTATAGTAGGGGTGCTAAAGCTGTCCGCTAGCGCTTTTTCTATCGCGAAATTGATGTTTCAATGTGCGCTGCATTTGTTTTCATGCTGTCTTTAGGCGATTTAATTCGATGCCCTTCACATTTCGCGTCATCGCGTCGCGTTGCGTTCGAATTCGGTCGCGAAGCGCGATTTGAGTGACATTTTGATCCCACCGTATTTGGAATGGAAATGGAGCTGTCGTTGGCATCAAAAGACATCCCATGCACATGCAGTCAAATTAGCATAAAATTCGTCTCCCCCAATGCTGGAAATCAATCCGATTTTTGATGAGGTAGCAAGGAGGAGGTGTACAGCTCGTGGTCGCGCCGTTCCTCTAATCGCTTTCACCAGAAACAATTAAACCTCACAGATTGAGTTGACATGACAGCAGCAGCAGCAGCAGGCGGGCGGCCAGGCAACCAGGCAGGCAGGCAGAACACTTAATTCACATTTGCAATTAACGACCACCACACTTGGATACGACAAAAGGCGTATAATTGTGGACGTAGTCCGTAATTAGCATATACGTCCCTGAGGCATAGCTTAGACATGCTGTGATTTGCTGGGGCTAGCACTGTTGAGCTAGAGCTGTCAACGGATTTCCATAAAAACCACTTCGACACACGATACTAACATGTTTTCTGACGTATATGCCAGCGATATCCCCCCAACTAAAAGCAGTGTTCCCAGAAAATTCTCATCAACGCGAACACGTCCATAGTTTTGCGGGAACTCATGAATCATCGATGTGGTTAGTCGGATGAGAGGAGTGTATCGAGCATGTTAACCTTGATGTCAGGAGCATCGTAGTCGACATTACTATCTCCGTATTGCATCCTCTACTCTAATGACAACCCCTCTCAGGTATCGTGGCATTGACATGCGCTTACCGTACCATGCGATCATCATCATTGATACGCCCGGTGTTCTTATGGACAATTGAATATGCTAAATTCACCCATCCGATCCTATCCTAACTATCCATATTACTATCAACATGTCTAATTAGTAAATAGACAGGCAGAAAACCGCTTAGATTCGCGGACTGACACAGGATCGTTTAGAGCGATCCAGTAGTGGTACATGATCTCCGGTTACATCGTCTATCTAGCACCAAAAGCAATTAGGCTCAGTGTTTCTGCTATTCTGACAGCTGTGCTTCGTTGAAATAGCGTGCACTGTTTATTCTGAAGATTTTGCGGACCCCTGATGCAGTCCAACTCGATCAGCTGTTGCTCAGCAAGTTTTTGTCGTGCTCCTTATCAACACCCAAAGTGTTATGCAACAAACGATCTCTGATAAATGATCCATCAAATCAAACAATTACTCATCACTTTGATGTCAGATAAATTGAAGAGACTATGGACAGGGAGTAACCATTATCAATTTGCAAATTCCGTTTGCAAAATTTTGAAATCGCTGAAGTTGAAAAAGTCGTTATGCCTCTTTGTGCTTGCCATAGCCTTTCGAGATCGTTGGAACAGCTCTCCATTATACATTTGATGGTGTTCCGTGGAACTCTCTTGCATAGTAGAGTACGTTGCTGGACATGTTTCCTGTTTCGCCTCGTTGCCGTAATTGCACTACACCACGCCAATCTTCGTTTCATCATAGCGGCTCGTCCCCCTTAATAACGCGTAATAGGACTCCCACGGTGAGCACTCCACGAGCTGAGCGTACTTCCTCTCCCTCACAGGCTCTAAGACCAATACTGCTAAGAATGACATTTGTTACATCCTGTATGTGACTTTGGGACTGAGCAAGTCTGGGCTGGGCGGTGGGGGTGCTGACCTCGCGCGATTGTAATCCGAACTCGCCTCTATCTCTGCTACCACATCTCTTGAGAGGATTATATGGGCTGTACCTGGTCTCTCCACCACCTGTGCGATATGAAACCACTACGAAATTGAATAGCCTCGCCAGGTCATCGAATTAATGGACAGGCATATTCCGAGCTCAACATCATTGGCAACAAAGTCTTCGGTACCTCGAACCAACGACTCTTGAGACAGATTCCCAGGCCTGCCTATGAATATTACGCAAGACGTGGCCAACGGCTGTGCTCGGAAATCCTTAGCCATCACAAGTGTCGGAGATAAGCACTATGAGAGCGGATTTCCGGAGGCACAGTGATTAGCACGACTGGGTGGGGGGATATTTCGGGCGATTGGTTGCGCCATCAACGGTATCAGGGCTCAGGATCGAATCGCTGACCACTAGATGGCGTATGAGGACGTGGGAGCGGCGGCAGATTGTAGATTGAACCTGACCTAACACAATCAGACAGAAGTAACCCAAAAAACTTCTGATTTCTTCATGGTATGGTCGAAAGGTCTTTTCCGAGTCGATTGATAGCATCGTTTACTGATAAGCTTAACGCAAAGCCTATAAACCGCTTTGCTATCGAGGCGACGACGTGGTCGAAAAAACTCCCTAAGACGCTGGCACCAGAGCCGAATTCGTTTTGTCCCACTCAATTGGCTCAGCGAGCAGTGTGACAGGTTCGATACACTTCAACAATGCACTTTTACGATGTGATCAGCTAAAGTGAGTGCCAGTGAATGTCAAAATTTCTTCGGATTCTCCCTAGAGGGCAAAGCGGGGATTTCGCAGCGAAAAAGTCGTTCAGAGCACACTAGCCAAAGATTGAATATTATGGATGATTGGATGCGCTAATCGAGTGTCCAGATATACGACGATAAGCCTCAGCGCCACGACAAGCTGCAACGCTGCACTGGCCTCCGGCTTCACCCCCTCCATCCTCAGCCCCTCTTCATCATCTCACTACTCGAGCGTCTCCAATTTGCATCCAAATTTAATACGGAAATAGCAACTGGCATGCGGTCTATGCACACAGCGCGTCGAATATGTACATCGAGGAAGGGGGATCCTGAGCCTCCCTTCATAATAAAAACAACCCTCTGTCAATAATTCTTAGTAGCTTAATAGGCCATTCCTTTCAATCTAAGTGACAATAATGGTGGTACAGTTTCCAGAGTTACGTTAACATTTTCAGCTCCTCCAAAAATGGTTCTAGACGTGGAGCGAAAGTTTCGCATACCTTTGGGCCAAAAACAGTTCAAACTGGTATGCCCAGTTATTGCCAACGATAAGGACATGCTAATGATACAGTGGACGAAGAACGGAGAGCAGGTGACAGAACAAGTCGTTTTCATGTAATACTCACTCATTCATCCATCTCTTCACATTAGTTGAGTAGGCGGTGGTTGTGTTTTGTTCACATTTGCGACCAGGCGATAGTCATCCATCATTGTCAGAATGGATGTGCCTACATTCCGAAAACCACTAGCACCCCATTATGGACATCGCTCAAGGGGCTTTCTCGCACACGACACACAACATTTCACAATCACTCAAAGTCGCACAGGCCCATCCAAGAGCGCAGATGAAAAGTGCAGCAAAAAAATTTGCGGCTTAAAGCACTCTGTACATCCAACCTGCCTAACGAAAATTCCCTTCTCCCTCCCCCACCCCCCCNGGGGGGGGGGCATATATGGATTGGTGATCTGATATTTGTGGCTATCCTCGGGTTGAGCTCGAATTGAATAATCTTAGGGAAGGAATTGAGTGCTGTAAAGTAAATTTTTCATTGGTATGTGATTTCTTCCCTACCTCCCTCACCTCCTTACCGAGCGCTACCCGGATCTCGAGTTTTTTGATGGAGTTTTAAGAAATTTTCACCAGAGGAGTACCTGAAAATCACTATGATATAACTTGGCAAGGGTCTAAGGATGGACAAAAGCTGATATTGATATTCCTTGCCTTCGAAAAGTGGCCCCGATTGAGAAACAAACACCCTTTCTACAATTAGCCATTTGGAGTCTGGGCTTTGCGAAGATCCATTAGCATGGAAATGATCTTGTGAGTAACGTCCAAAATTCAGGTGGAATGGGATTCACGATACAAGCTGGCAAAAGACGATCGAGAACTTCGAATGAAGTCGGTCAGGCTAGATGATAGTGGCAGATATCAGTGTCAAGCCACCAACGGTTTTGGCCATCGAACAGTGGATTTTACAGTTCATGTTTACGGTAAGTGCTAGAGTTGTGTGACTCGAGGAGCACTGTGAATGTAGCCAATTTTAGATCCGTCAGAAGACTCCATATCACTCAAAGATGTCATAGTTCTTGCTAATTCGAGTAAGTTTAAGTAACGTCTTGTTAAATTTAACGAAGTTATTACTCAAATGAGGTTGTAGTTTCGGAAAGTTTCTTTAAGGTGTGAATGTTTTTCAACAGAGTAGCTAATGTTAAGAATATTGATCAAGAATTATCGATTTCTATTCATTCACGATTTTCGTTCACTTTCACTTCAATTTTTCTTTTGCTAACCATAAATGTAGACGATACATGTCAGATTTGGAACAAAAACGTCCTTCCCTTTTACCGTATTCCACTACTAGTACAGTGCACTTTGTCGTTACAGCATCTGCTCCGGCGTGGCTGATCGACATGAACCTCGATTGGTCCTCTCCTATGCAAATTAACCGAGGAGGTCGTATGGAACTGCGTTGTCCAGCGCGAGGAAATCCCTTGCCGGAAATTCGATGGTACAAGAACAACATTCGGATTACTACTGGTAAGCAACAACTCTCTTTAGTCCTGTTCCATCACTGAAAACGACCAATTAATCGTAGCCTTCAACTTATGAAACCACTTGAGTTGAACTCGGTGTTCTTTGTTCATCGTTGTTATTTTTACAAAGTTGAAGGTGTGTAAAGTTAACAGCTCACGATTTTGGTGAGTAACGAACAAAAGGCTCCGTATGAAACGAGGCTCGGACAGCTACTTGCTTACCTCTACTTGTAGTCAAACAACCCTGTGAATTCCTTGAATTCAAAGGGAATAGGACGACTGCTTAGATCAGTGCTTTCAATTTTTGTAGTTTGCTTAATCCAGTCTCGAAAATTCATCTCTATCTTATTGTCAGTCGAGTTGCGGAATGTTTGATTCATCCTTCTTGAGATTCACTATGCAGTAGTTCTCCAAGCTGAAGCACAAATGACTTTATCTCCATTATTTTAGGCATACCTCAGTGCTCTTCTCCGTTTTCGATCCAGTCTTTGTCAATCAAACCTTATTTCCAGATTCTCCACCTCACATTGCCTCCTTTGTCGTAGATCCAGCCGGGCTGGATGACTCCGGGGACTACCGCTGCGTTCTCGAGAATCGTCTAGGATCGATCGAGGCGATCTTCAAAGTTACCGTTGGCGACTTTTTCGATGACGGCAAGCGACTAGGAGCTCTTGACGGGCCATCCGTAAGTTGTTTTTGGAAAGCTAGCATTCAACTGGCATATTATTGTTATGTTTAGGAACAGATGCTTGAACCGATAATCGACCAGCCATATAACACCACCGTACGAGTTGGTCACACTGCCCAGTTCCTGTGCAAAGCGAAATCTGCTCAAAGCCCGTTGATAAAAGTCAGTCAGCCTTCGGGAGAACTTCGTCGTCTACTGGCAAAATAAAACGGCATTTATGAGTTTCAGTGGCTCAAAGAAGTAGAAGACCCAGACGCTGAACGACGACGCGATCCAAACGCGACCGTAGTAAATGCGAGCGGAATGCACCTACTGGTTCTCGAACAGACCCAAGTCGAGTCCGTATCTCGTGATGGACCTGACCACCTATATACGAATCGTCTGGTCATACCAATGGTAAGTTTGGCAACTCATTGAAAAGAATTCCTCAAATTCAGAGAAAACTAATCGATCAACGACATTCAGGTGACAAAGGAACATGCTGGCCGATACATCTGCGTTGTCACGAGCACGCAAGGACATATCGTCTACAAAGCCGCCCAATTGAATGTCGTTGCTGGTGGGTTTTCGTGAATCAATATATCGATTTGCTGGTACTTAAAAAGCTTAATCCATTTCCAATTTAGCCTATGACTTCGGCTCAATTGGTCTTGGAATGGACAACTTCTGGTACTTTGTCATCCCTATTGCCGTTGTCTTCGTCGGTCTAGTTATAGGGGCTATAGCGTGGCTGCGATGCAATCAAGAGGTAACTCTACTTTGTAAAATTATATCGTCCTATTTTCTTTCAGCAATATTATACTTCTAATTCTCATCTAAAGTGTTTACTGGTAGCAGCTGTAATGTGCTCCACTTTATAGTTGTAAGAACCTTCAAGACTGAATATTGAACTAAACTTAAGTGAGGTAAATGAAGGTATTTTCAGCCATCTTCACCAAAATGCCTGTCGAGTAAGCCGCCTCCACCGCCACGAATTCCACCTCCAGTGGCACCTGCTGAATATCCGGGCAGTGCACATCAGTTCTCACAGGAATACTGTATAGAGAAAACTAGGTAAGTTAGAGATGTTGCAGATTGAAACTTTGAACAAAAAAGTGGCCCTTCACCAGTTCTGAGTTTTTTTAGGAGGCTAAATCCTGAACAGGCGAGGGCATGAAGGAAATGTTGATGCCACTGTAAGGGAAAGGGTTTTCCACATCGGGACAGAGTCACGCCTATAAATTCTACAGGACCCACTTGAATGACTTTTAGCCCTGGGTGGTCAGTAGTGATAGGCACCCTCCTTACAGAGTTTCTGGTCATTTGAAAGGTACAATTCATGGCTCAATTGGCTAAATAAAAGCATTTAAGGTCACCGATCATCTTGAACAATTCGATGTTCCACCAGAAGTATCCGATGGGCATCGCCACCCTTGATCGCAGCAGCATTCAACGAGCTCAACGAGGTAATCAATCACTTTTTAACGTGGCTAATCCGTTCTCAACCACACACACGCACCCCACCGAACGCCGTGACGTTTTCAGGGTTTTTCGAGGAATTCCAGGCATCTTCTAGAATTTTCAGTGTTATGAAACACTTGAAAAGCATGCTATGGCAGTTTGCTCCTGAGACTTGGGGGATTAGAATAGGGCTAAACACTGCATAACTTCTCATAACGAAAGTATAGAAAGGTTAAATGAAAGTTAGACAAGAGTTTAGGTTCTAGTCATCCAAAAATTTGAAGAGCCCAGCAATTGCCTTGAATTCCGTCGAATGACTGACTTGTCAGAGACATCTTACAAATCATGGATCATCAAAAAAATCATGTGACAAAATCACTGAAAGGTTCAATATGTCCCGTTTTGTTTACATTTGGACTACTAGTAGTCGATTTTTATGAAAACAACCCTGATCAATCGCTGTATCACTCACGGTATATAATTGTGTATCGGCTGTCGGCCAGATCAGGCAATAGCAAATTCAGCCAGAAAATTAGCACCATGTCGCTAGGATACGCCATCGATTTTGACTACCAGTTTACTTACATAAAATCAATTTTTGAAGAAGTAATTAAAAGTTTTTTGTGGCTGATTCTACCTACTGCAAATCCCTTCCTTCCTTGGAAGTGATTATCCATTTTTGTGTGAACATTGGGACATCTGAGTTGAACCCTTGGCGCAATTTTTCAATTCTCTTAGTTTCAGGCATGGACGAGATGTCAAATCTGTACGATAACAGTTCACCACAGCCTTACTGGACTCAACAGATGATTCATCGGCCAGTTGCCAATTCGATTTATACGGCTAATTCCGGCAATTATCGAACGCTGGAGGTGAGAACTGTTCTGGCAACGCTAGTCATTAGATCAATTAAAAGCATAATGCCTTTGTTTGGAGGCCCTCCGGATCACCCCAGGCCATGATTTCACTACTCATGTTGTGCTATATTGCTCTTCATTCAGTTTCTCATACTACTAAATCGTATTCTTTTACAACCTATACTATGCAGTTTACTAATATTCTACGATCAAGACTTCCACAAACATCCATTCTTTCAGGTTGGATATCCTCATAGTCGCAATTATCCGTCGATGTGTAGCGATGAGTATTCGGAACAGGAACAACCGTTTATCACCTACAGAAGATGAGCTACTTAGTGATAATTTGGAGTAACCTGGTCAATACCACAACAAGTGCCAATGGATTGATTGATCAATAATGACCTCTCCTCTCATCCTTGGCGGTAATAATCCAAATAGAGAGTCTGTAAATTAGATTCGTCTGTTTTTTTTCTCAATACTTTCCTTTTCTAAACTAGTGTTTCCTTCATATTAATTATCGATTATCGTGATTTATGCAATAACTTCTCTCGATACTCTTAATATACGGGTCTACTGAAGAAATTGATTGAATATTCATGTATAACATTTGATTGTATCCTAATATCATACTCCTCGTGACTATGCCATAATTACATTCAGAAGTATAACTTCTTCTTCTTTCTACTTCTGTATTGCATTCGTGTATAGTATACGGTAGGTGACTTTTATGGTTGCTATATGTTGTTGAGCTTGTTTCCTCATTTGCCTCTCGAGCTTAACACCCCTACTCGACACCGGTACATCACTCGTCATCATTTAGATTATTCGTTTTTTATTTCTTTCATTTTGCTTTATCTAAATGAATATAGAGAATTCATGAGTTTTTTGGTATCAGGGTACACTCAGGGTGAAAATGTAATTTGGGACGGTGGGGTGCGCTCCATTGTGCTCTTCGTCTCTAGCACCAAGCGAGGGAAAGATAGCCGGCATAAGGGACCCATGGTGATTACAAACGTTTCTTAGGTAAGGGGTGCAAGCTTTTGCTTGAGCCTAAGTAGGGGAGGAGAATTACAAAAAGCATGACGTGAGTGGTCTCGTAGCACTGAGACCAACTCTAAGAAATGGTAAAGCAAGAGCTTTTTTGATGATGTATTGTCCATTGATCAAGCCATTGCAACGAAAGGAACAATTGATCTGTGTGTTATAACCTCCGATCTTATTTTCCGATGTATTTGACTTAGAAAAAAAATCTAACCTGTAATCTTACTATATTCTACCGTGACCCCGGCACCTTTCGTTCGGCCATGTAATCCAGCCTACGCCCGGATCCGATTCGATCGATACAGGTTGCACGTCCGCGCCAGAAATGCACCCAGGTGCTGAGGTATAACAGGCAGATAAGGCCATTCTGAGAAAGAGCCCTTCCTTATTGAATCCCCATGGCCATCATCCTGTACTGAATGACCATACTTCATTGTCAGGGTTAAGACTCGTATGTTACTGCAAGATCATTTAGTGGAGGGATCAATAGCGCGCCATGTTGAACACCACGACCACAGCTAGCTTACTTGTGGCTTCCTTGCTATAAGGAAGTAATCGGTAGCTATCCAATTCTTATTTGGTTTTTCTGAACTCCTACAACGGATTGGAGAGCTCTGCACTATACGACGGATTGGGCAATGGAACTTGCTCTATGTGGATGAGTGGATATCCTTACCATAATTGGTGCAATTAGTGCTACTTCACGAGACTGGGGATGTTATGGTGCTTTATTGCTTTGGAGCATGAGAGAGAGTTTACTTACATAAGAAACATAGAATCACAAAACTGAAGGCATAACGGTAGCAACTGATGGGAAGAGGGAAAGGGTGAAGCTGGACCTCACCAACGAAATGATAAGCGTCAAGCAGGTCAATCGGACCAGTGATTGTAGAAAAAAGATAACTGAAATGGGTCCCCTACTCTTTTGAATCCTCCTATCCCAGTTCAATGGGGAAAGAGAACCCTGACATCTGTCGTAAGCCACGGAGCGCCCGAGTCGCGGGTCGTATGATTGGCCAACAGAACATTAGTAAGTGACGGACATTAGTCAAAGTAGCACGGCGAAAAGATAGCAGGAAGGAGGTCTGTAGAAGCCAGTTCCTACTGTGGCCCTCTTGGGTTACTAATGAGTTCGAGGAAAACGTTGAGGAACAAATTTTGCAAGAGCATCATAGGGAGAGCTCTTAGATCGCGCCAACCATCCTTCGTAATCGATTTCCCGGGCCTCTTGATAATTATTGATTAGTGTGTGTGTGCGTGTTTTAGCTTTTCCAAGATTTTTAACATTATTAGGGTAATGTTTCGACACCTGCATTACGTCAGAGAATGAAAGTCAAAAAAAAAACATTTGAGATTGACCCTTTTTTGAGGGCTGTCAAACCTAGAACGTTTAACTTAAACTCACCGGATCCTCTTACAAGACTCAAGGAGGCTCACGTTGATGTGATCCATGCGTCGAGGAATTACATCGATCACCCAGGAAGTATTGATTATATTGCAGCATAAAATGGCACTCTTCTTAGTATTGCAAGTTTTTGTCGTATAGTAAAACATCCCTTATTACGACACCTGTCTATATGAATGTGTTGGCCATGTATGTCCGGATGACCGTCCTGCTTTAAAAATCGTTTTAGTCAGTTTCGCCAGGACGTCTTCAGTGAGGGACTTCATCCAGGGTACAAGAAGGAGTACCGTAGTTACATTCTCTCCCAGCTCGATATGTTTTGCTTGTCTTTTGACTGATGCTGAGGAAAGCAGGCAGGAAAAGGTGTGAGGCTTCGATAGTTTGTGTAGTTTTAGCGTGATGAAGTACCACCTTCGTTTCCCAGAAACACTTAAGAATGCTTCCTATTAGTGATCCCTGGCTAAGATTTTTCTCAGTCAAATTCCCGGGGACTCAGGGGTACTGTCTCAAGCAGCGGCGGAGATTCAAATCGTGCAAGAGTAAAGTTAGAGAAAAGGTAGTTCCAAAACTCCAGATTTAGTTATTTATTTTTCAGAGTTAGTTGACAAGCAGAGGATTTTCTGAGTGGAGTGGTAGGCGGTAGTGAACCCATCTGGAGGGAGGGCGACGGTCAGTTACAGTTTAAATCAAAACCATCTGTTTCTTCTTCCGGCGTCCCACCACAATGGGTGGTCTGCCGTATGTACGTGGCAGCACTATAAAGCTTTCCTTGGTATGGATTGAAGTGAACCCTGTCAAACAATGGTAATTTTCTTCTTTACTTTTTATTTGAGAACTAAATCAGAGCTATGCTGAGGTTTTCGAAATTCGTTCATCTGTGTATAATGAACACCACTGGAACTGCCCTTCATTCGGTAACATTTGTTCCAAAGATGATTTGAAACATTGTTCTTCCGTCAGATTGCAGTATCACTTTGGGTGAAATGGAGCCTTCGAAAGGGTTTGAAACCCATGCTTAAGAATTCGCATCCAATTACACAGTTTCATTTCCAATAAATTCAAAAATAAGGTTCCCTTGAGGTGGAAAACTGATTCGAAGGACTATGGGCAGATTTTCCAATAAAAGAGATACTTCGCAGAGAGCTCGCTCAGAATAAACTCATTGAGAAAGCTAAAATTCAAGGAAACCTTAGTTTTAGATGTATTGGAAACAAAATTGTGAAATTGGAGGCGATTTCACAAGAGCGGGGTTCAAGTCCTTTCGAAGGCTTCATTTCACTCCAAATTGATACTGTAATCTGACAAAAGAAGGGTGTTTCAAATCCTTTTGCTGGTATACATTACTAGTAAGCGGATAGCACTCTGCTCGAAAACATTGCTACCATCAGCTTCATCGCACAATATCGAATGAATGAGGGATCAACAGAAAATTAGGAGTTCGATATTTTCCTTTGGGATCCCAGGTCTTTCNGGTTTGAGCTTCACGATTTCCAACTATGACAGGACGTCACGGCATTAGTCGGAAAGCGGCTTGCTTTTCACTGTCGGCTTGCTAGGATGGTGAGCTTTTCAGATGCATCAGATTCAAGAAGCGATTCGACCGCTTAGAGCTCTGGTTTTACTAAACTTCACTTGTTTTCTTACTTCTTAAGCTCCGGCTTTTGCCGAGAGCTGGGGAGAAGAATGCTAGAGAGAATCTGCTATTTACAGCTCCTGAAGGTGCGAACTGTCAAATCCGAAATTCATGTCCAGATGTTTTTTTGACGGTAGAGCTTTCCATTGGTACGTGATAGCGGCTTTTATGGTAATTCGCTCTACTGCACCGTGTTTGTTCAAAATGAGTCAGGACGACACCTCGTGAAAAACTCGGTCGCTCCCAAGGTGTCCCAGTTTCGACGTGTCGTCCACCATGGCGTCTTTTGACCCACGACCTTTTTTGTCGACTTTTCGAAAATCGTTACAAGCACTGTGAAAAGGGACGTCTTAATTGTCGCATACTAAAAAGCGCTTTTTGAAGCTCATCCTTTACTGACGTATCACTTTTGTATTTACGATTTCATTTCTGAATTTTGCTACTTATAAATAGTGCCATAGTATGAATTCCCTTTAGAAAGAAACGTATGTTCAGGTCGTGTTCGTCGTAAAAGCTGGTACCAAGTTCGTTCTGTAGGTCTGTAAGGAAGACACGGAAAAAAATAGTAACCTCCGTGTACAGGTTTTTCGGGTTACAGAGGATTTTGGGTTGAACATCGACCCGAACATTGTGCAGTGTTAGCATAAAACAATTAAACAAAGCAGGAATACAAAAATATAAGTACGATGTTCATATAAACCAACTGGAAGCTAATAATTCTTCCTTTCATCTCGGTTGTTCAATCATCCAAGCTAATTTACATCTATCTACCTACCTAAGGTAGTCCAGAATATATCTACCTTCTGATTGCAGTGAGATAATCCTAATGGAAAACCTGTTCAATCTTTCTTCTATCAACTTTTTGTTTGAGCACTTAAATTTTACTTTTAGATTTTACCTTTTAATAGAATCTTTCGAACTGACTGAGTCGATTCACTCTTTGATCAGTAGAGTACAACGTCGTTGCCTTCTTTTCATTATGTTCTGAATGAAGTGTGATGTCCCCGTTCCAGCTCCAAGCAGCCTTGCACTTTCAGCTTTAATGGACGAGTTTCTCATCATCACTTTGCAACTCACTCTCCAACGAATGTGTGATATTGAGCCATTGTAAAACGGTGACGATGGGAAAACCGAGTGCATGAAGTGAGAACGATGACGTTCAGTAGTGATGGTATGATACTAAAATATATACATAGGTCCCAGAGGGTGGACATTGAAAAGGAGGCAACTGAGAAAATCAACTGACAGCTCACAGAGCTTTAACACGAAAATGTAGGTTACCAGGTTTCTGAGTCCTGCTCCGTCAATGTTGAGCGTGAGGAGATTTCGAAGTAGAATTGATCACCTTTGAGACTTTGATCTTCATATTTATGGGTCCTATTCTCATCGCATTTATGAAAAATCGCAAAATTCCGCTATGCGTCTGTAGTGCATGGCAAAGCATAAAGTTTTTGAACAAAGGTAAACTCGAAGGTTGCATATTGCTAGTTTACTGCTATCGAATGTGTAAGTTACAACAGTTCTGTTTTTGCCACTTCTAAAGGTTCGAATTCTGGAACTTTCGCCTTGATCTCGATCGTTAGGCATCGGCATTTGCCGATGAGTTGATGAACATGAGAATATTCACATAGTTAATGTATTTGAAGTTGTGTCCGTTGTTTTCACTCCCATTATTTGTTTCCTCGCATTCGAAATTTTCTTTTCCATTTCTTTCTTTTTACTTCTTGTTAATGGTTACCCTCCCAAGTCAGCATCCCTTGTTTCTCGTATTTTTTATAAGTTTCCGAATTCGATCTTCTCGAAACATGACATCTTATGAATTCCTTATCTTTCTTGAACCCTTTCTTCCATTACTGTTTTTTCTAAATTTCAAGGACCTTCCTATGCTACTCAAGGAAAGTGCGGCCCTTAATGCTGAAGACTTCTTGATATGTTTTTGCCCGCTCCAACTCATTCCTTTGCTTTTCATTCTTACTCTCTTCATAGAAATATTCCTGTTCTCTACACGAACTTCATCCTTGTCATCTCACTCAGACACAGGCTTTCGTTAGTGATAGTTTGTTGCACAAAAGATGTATTAATGGAAAGTACGGCAGTACTAAGCACCGAACAGATAAAAATGATTAATCATTTTAAGTCTTGACCACCCGAGTTTTCTATGACTCCTTCCTTTTCTATTAACCTTAACGGTGAAAATGTAGTTGGGGGGTGCCAGCGCCTTTCAGTCTCGTTACTCTGCGTCTCTGACCCAGGTGGCAGAACCCCCAGAGTGCGGATATGTCCTCTTAATAGTGACAGGGAATGTATTCTTTAGCAAGGGAGGAGCTCCGGGGTGGGTGAGAAGTAAACGTTGTGCAAAAAGTTGAAATGATCTAGAATAGCTCTTCAATAACAACTTTAGTCGACGCGTGCAGGGCGTCCACGGTGCGCAATCGTTATATTGCAGTCAAACTCCTCAAGTTTAACACATTCCACTCCTTTCTACTTTATCGCAACTTTCTCTTGTCCTTGCACAACGTTTACTTCTCATCCACCCCGGAGCTCCTCTCCTTGTTAAAGAATTCATCCCCTATCACTATTAAGAGAACGCCAGAACGAGCAATGTTTGACGCATGGGATCGAATTCTAAAATGTAAAAATTCATCAGTGATCTCTGTGAAAGTATCAATTGGTCTCATACTTCTGGGCATTCGATGAGCTTCCGAAGAATACCACACTCTTCATTGACTTTACTTCTCAGCGGCCCTATTTCCCCATTACGTCTTTCACAGAGATCACTGACGATTTTTTACATTTTAGAATTCGATACCATGCGTCAATCATTGCGCGTTCTGGCTGCTATGCTGATGGATCTGGCGAAGGAACTCAAGCGATTGGACTCGCTCCAAACTACTGGAGAGGAGGTAGCAAAAGTGTCACAATTACCTTTTATTTCATCACGGCTGAAGACCGGGCAAATAGAAGACGTCTATAAAAATATCGAAGAAAGAGCAAAGAGAAAGAAGAAAGACGGTCCGAGTCAGTGATTGACTTGCTCACATTTTTTTACTTGTGAGTTTGACATGATATTGTACTTACTCGTTTTATCGTAATGTTGTGCAATTTAAATGTTTTAAATTAAATTTTACCCTGCACTGGTTTCAACTGACTAGCTCACAATTGCGTTCCCCTTTAATTACGTTTTTTTCCACACTTGAAAGACTGTATGATCATTAGGAGTATCCGAACTCTATGCTTGGGTGCTTTATGCTGCGACGTCTACTTTTGGGTAGGTGGGTTGCAACCTCCGGGTGAATGGTTGCTGGCTTCATCATCCGGTATCTGGTGCTAGGATCTCATTGTAGATTATATTTGACTCTACAAGATGGCGTAGTCCTTTTCAGTACTGCCAGTCATGGTCCAGGGATCGATATGTCGATCAGAATTTGAATCTGTATGATTGATAGAATTCCATAAATGTTACTGAAATATTTGAATCCCTGCGAAGAAATTGGTCGCAGTGGTTCTTTTGGCAATAAACAAAAAAAGTAATTGTGCAGAGTATGAGGCCCACTCTGCAGCGATAAGCAGTGGTATTTTGCCCTGCGGTGTTCCACTCACACTTCGCTTGATTAGATATGAGATTTCGGTTGCCGAGGTGTCTTTCATGGAGTATATAGAACGTGTACAAATAACCTGGATTTTTGGTATCAACTGTTTAGCTGTTTTTTGTGTATTTTTTATACAAGGTTTTTATGATTGCACGTCATTTTGAAGCTTATCTAATGATCTTTCGTATTTTTATTGTCATTTTTTTCCAAGTCGCTTTTCGTCAGTTTTAGACTGAATGACTCGGTCTGAATGGCGCTCGACGACTGGCATTCCATGCGACTAGTNGATTAGATATGAGATTTCGATTGCCGAGGTGTCTTTCATGGAATATATAGAACGTGTACAAATAACCTGGATTTTTGGTATCAACTGTTTAGCTGTTTTTTGTGTATTTTTTATACAAGTTTTTATGATTGCAAGTCATTTTGAAGCTTATCTAATGATCTTTCGTATTTTGTTGTCATTTTTTTCCAAGTCGCTTTTCGTCAGTTTTAGACTGAATGACTCGGTCTGAATGGCGCTCGACGACTGGCATTCCATGCGACTAGTGGCTTACGATGCCTAGTGTTGGGACCCAATTTTCTCATTTTTTCGCGAATTCGGGATTATTTACCCACTGCTAGCACAGTGGATAAACAATAATTATCAGGTTACCGGGAAAGTCTGCGCTTTTTCTGAAGCATCCAATTTTATTGAGTTTATAAAGCGATAAGGCACATTGATGAGTTATTCAGCGTCATGTTTCATCACTCTTCGCTACCTTTCCGCCAGACTTCTGATTGCTTCTGCAAGGAATTCTTACGGCGGTGAAAATGTAGTTGGGGGATGCCAGCGCCCTTCCGTCTCGTTGCTCTGCGTCTCTGACCCAGGCGGCAGAGTACCCAGAGCGCGGATGTGCCCTCTTAATAGTGATAGGGAATGTATTCTTTAACAAAGGGAGGAGCTCCGGGGTGGGTGAAAAGTAAACTTTGTGCAAGGACAAGAGAAAGTTGCGGTAAAGTAGAAAGGAGTGGAATGTGTTAAACTTGAGGAGTTTGACTGATACATATCCACGCTCTGGGTACTCGGCCGCCTGGGTTAGAGACGCAGAGCAACGAGACGGAAGGGCGCTGGCATCCCCCAACTACATTTTCACCCATAATATCCCCACTTCCTAGTCTCGAGCACTCGTCTTGATGGCACCCTTGACCTATGGTCGGTACCACTTATGGTAATTATAGAAACAGTTTTGCTATTGCGAGGCCGTGGTTGATCCATAGACTCTTCAAGCAACGACTGTTTAATGCACTTTGTTCATTTACCAACTGTCTGAGCCCTTACTAGCCATATGTTTGGCACTGTTTTGCATAAACTGCTTACCTTTCTTTCTTTAATTGTTCATGAAGAGTTTTCTCTTTCCCACTTCAGTCAGATGGGAAGTTTACTCGTTTTTCACATGAATTAGTTTACCAGTACTGAACATATACATGACAAGTGTGGTTGTAGAAATACCAAATAAACAAACAGCGTCTTCTCTTCGTCACTTTTTTGAGTTCCTCCACACTTTCACATCTGCGCGCCTTATCCCGACGTGATCATTGATTACGAATTTGATCGACAAGTCTTTTTCTCTACTGTTCTAGAAAGAAACAGCAGTGGACTGGATAGGAGCAACATATTTGGTCCGTATGACCAATATTTGTTTGATGAATAGAAAAGCAGAAACGAAATAGCTGTGGAGGGGGATAAGCCGATGAAATACACCACTATTTGCGTTCGATTGATGACGCCCCGCCGGTTCCGTTGTCGATGACGGAGTGATCCGCCCTCCTCAGCACGGCCCAGCGAAGGACAACGCCTGCGGACGACGACTGCTACGACGACGATTCCACTTTGATCAACGTCATCAGATGGCCGCTGATCGACCTGGACCGTGGAGTCGATGGGATGTACCCAGTGAGTGACCTTTAACCTCTCACTTTTGATTTCACTGTTTTTTCAACGGTTTTCACTTGAGGTTTGAGATTATCGCCCTTTTTACTTTTCCTTCAATTCATCATCATTTCCTTCAAAGCCCTGGTGTGATTCATTCCTTCCTTGCGTGACCGTACTTCTAAGTTATTGCATAATGAACTCTTGAATGGATTGCGCTCTTACTGTATGCAGTGAGCCTTTTCGTAGCAGACCTAAGCACATGTTTCGAGAATAAATTGCCTGTTTTGAGATAACAACTAGTTGACCAGTCAGTGCAGAAAACTGACTGGTCATTCTTTGGTGAAGAAAACGGGTGGACGGACTGTTTCGTTTGTTTGTTTATGCGCACATAGACCGTTCCCATGTGGCCGATAATGTTTGCATTTTTGTTTGTGCTACTGATTCTTAAAAACTACTAAAAAAACTTACTATAGTTTACAGTACTTTACTAGTCTCTCGTTCTATGAAGCTTTCTGTACAGACTGAAAATCTATTCTGACTCAAAGTTGCATCTTTGATTTGTGACTTTCTTACCGAGCTGGAGATGATTGGGATAATGGGCGAAGCGGGGATGGGGAGGATGATGTCTAACACCCCTAATTAACGTCACCAGTCCTTGGAAGGACGGTCCATCTGAGAAAACTTATGACCCCTCAATGAGTGACGTCCCAGAAACTCATTCTTGCGTGTAGAAAGTAGATGAAATAGAATTAAGGAATTAATGAACGAGTTAAGTTATGAGCTTCAAGTGATGAGTTCATAAATCATGTCAGCGGCTTTGAAAATGTATGCATTTCCTATGAAAGCTGAAAGAAGAAGAAAAACATTCGACAAGGAAAAGTGAGACAAATGACTGTCGGAAAGAAGAAATGGAAGAAAGTCGTTGAGAAGAAACCAAGGTGGAAAACCGGTTAAATTCCAATGAGCAGCGGTGCGGGATAAGAACTGTGGACATCGCTTCGAGAAGAGGTTTTGAAGGGCTTCTTCGTAGCTGGATTCAAAATGCTTTCGGTAATTCTGTATGCCCTTACCTAGGATACCGAAATCGTCCCGTTGTTGGTGGTAGTTAGGAAAATTTGGCGTCTCGCTAGAGGTGAAATTCATAGCGCTGGAAGTACTGGTCGAGATTTCCGTTCAGGTTCCAGTTTTTAGTTGCCTCTCATACCAGTATTCCAATTTTGTGAGATTCAAATTGATTATTGAAGTTGCTATGAAAGTTCATCAGCTCTTTTGTTTAGGCAGTGATCTTATTTTCATGGGCTGGCCTGAGGGTGCAATACAGACGACGAAGTTGACTCGCCACTTTCTAACTCTAAGTGGAGGGTAAACGGCGTAATAAGTGTGGCAGTAAGAAACCAGTTTGAGATGAGTGGGTTAGACTATGGCAAGAAATTATAGTTTTTTAGCGCTCGAGATATCAGCACCTTGTTAAAGGAGCCTCTTAGTCAGAGAGGGCTTCGATCGGACTGTTTCCTTGTCGCAAGAAAGTTGACACAATCAGCACATAAACCAATGAGTTGTATGTTTTTTTTTTTTGAAGAAGCTTAATCTTGTCGGACTTGGCTAGATCTTATCCAAGGAATAAGCTCTGATTTACGAATGTTGAACTGATATATAGAAGCGCTTTAAAAAGTTTGCAAAAAAAATTTTATACGACTGTGCACACATCCTTACCCCTACTCCCTTTCCCATGTTCCTAATCGGCACTCCATAGTAGTAGTGGGCTAAGAAACAGAGGGGGGTGGGGTCGTCAACCACATTTACATGATCCTCTTTTTCCGCTGCCCAACTTCTGTAGCCATGGTCCAGCTTTTAGGGTGGTGCTCTGCCCGGGAGTGTATAAGTCATCAGGTGGTCGGATCGGGTGGGCGTTATTTCAATAGGTTCTGTGCTGCAACAAAATATTTGATTCATGATTTACCACGACTAACTGGTGACTGATTACCAGTATTATTCGAGACATATTTGGACTTTTTCGGTGTCTAATAGTCATAAACAGGATTCATGATTAGGGCAATAGCGATTGTGTGACGGAACGCGAAATCCTTGAACAGCAGTTTTTCGGCGACTCCCCATTGAACTCCTAGGACGTGTCCTTGATATAATCATCATCATTTTGCTGGTGTTAGGGGTAGGGTAGAGGCTGGTTTCAAATCGAGAGTTTGGAGTCCGGAAACTTTCTGGGAGATTGCATGTTCGTACTTTCGTCCCTCTTTAAGCCCTGTGTTACCATGAAGCACTTCTGCAAATATCGCGTGCAATTCTTGGAGTGGGTTTCTTGAGCGTTGCTGAATCATCCAGATTTTGATTGCAGATCTTCTTAACAGAACTTTAGTTTCATGAGGTCTGTAATGAGGGGCGATAAACTCGTTCTTCCGGTTACCTCTATGAAAACACAGCCCTGGTTGAAAATCGAGTTATTTCGATATAACGTGAAAAACAGAGTTGACGAGGGCGCAGTACCGAAGCAAACAGTCCGGTACATAAGAACCTGTGCAAACCCGAAAACGGATGTACGTAGGAGCCGGAATTAGTCACTCCGTTTTCTTTTGATGAATCATGCAGTGAAACCGCTTTAGATTTATAGACATACATTGCAGTTCCATAAATTGCTCAATTTTTGTTTTTTGAAGAATGGGCAAAATTGAATGCAATAAATCACAAAAGGTTTTCTTTTCACTGTTAGTCTCATTTTTCCACTTATCTTACTTTCATTGAGAACTTTGGTTGATATGCCAGAAAAGTTTTGTCCGGAGTTTAGCCTCTTGTCCACGTATATGTAGTACCCAGTATCTGCAAACTTGCTATCCCAGCCTTTCCACTGAACAGTTATATAAAGATCTTCATCGCTTTTGAGTTGCTACAAGTACCTCCACTTGTAATTGCCGCTCTTCCAAGTCACGTTGTTCTGGGACGCCCGTGGCTGTAACTACTGCTTTAACCAGAAAAAACAAACCACCTGCCATTTCGAGGTTTACAAAGTGTTCTCACCGGGGACATCTTCCTAAGCATAGCCAATGCTTGTAAAGTAGCTCAGAAATTACTGCTCCAGAGTTCACCTTGGAGTTTGGGGCACTGTAGGAATTCGAAGCAAAAAACTGGGGGCGGGGATACGAATGTGGGAAGTTTTGCCTCTGCAACACATATGTGTAGACCGTGAACCAGTTCCTTGACGAATATTGCTTGAGCAAACTGAGTTTTTCGACCCTTAGGGGTCGGCTGTTGACAAAAGAGTCGTTTGGGTGGATGAAAACACACACCAGTACATCGGCTAGTCACCCCAGTCATGTCATTGCGTATTTAAGTGTCGCGCTACGATTTCGAGAGCTACTGAAGTGGACGACACATTCCAAAAACGATTGGTTAAGATTGAGCGCTCCATCTCCAAACGGTGTGAGAAGTTTCAGCGCTGAGTTGGAGATATTTTTGTCAATTGCTAGAAACCGTGGACAGCGCCCGTTCGATGGCTGCCGGTACAGCATGACTGGGAGCGGAAGGGTGAAATTGATTCGAAGATTTTATTTCGTGATGAAACGATCCAAGATTTGGACGAAATATGGAACTTTTCTCAGAAAGCCAACCTAGAAAAGTAGATGAGATGGACTTTGAGAATGAAAATGAAAAAAGAAAGCATTCGAACGCCTTCCTCTTTCTAACTCATGGTCGTTTGGTCTCCATCATCTGAGCTTTCTATTTTCCAATCTTCTTCCACACCCATTCGCCCTGTATATCATCCCGCTTTCAAGTGTGGCACACGTCAAAATATTAGTACGGAAGTGTGGGTCAAAAATTTCGCAGTAGTTCAGATTTCTCCCAAGACTCTCTAGAACCTTCCATAATATTTCTTTGTGAAGACACTTACCCAAGCGTGTACGCACGCATGTAGGGTTACCTTCTCTTTGCTTACTTGATTTTATAACGATCAAACTACCGATATTTTACATGTACTCCTTTACATGTTCGAACCCGGCCACTCCGCTGCTGAAAGTCGTTGAATCCTGTGCCGAGCTTTTTTAAGTGAAGTTTCTTCCGAGCGATCCTGTGTCGTTCCAACGCTTCACAGCCCGAAGCAAAGAAAGTCGAAGATTAACTTCGATTTGGTCAAGCGATTGGAATATCGATAAATCATCTGGTATTATTCACATACCACTTAATGTCCTTTCATAAGAGATTCTATGTTAGCTTTTAGAGAATCTCGGGAGAAATCTGTGCTATTGTGAAATTTTGGCAGGTACTATCTACATAGTTGAATAATTCGTTAGGGTGAAAACACGGCAATGAGATTTTTGGGTTCCCAGTGCATAGAAAAGCCTTGACTAGAGTTTCGCTGACCATTAACATTGTTCAGCTTCATCATTTATCTTCCACTGCTCACCACTGCATTTTTAATTCTAATATTTCCCTTCTGTTCTCTCTTGAAATCAGTCCTCTAAGGACAGTAAGGTACGAAGATGGACAGAAAAGGAGAAATTGGGCCAGTAGTTGCTCACGTAATTGTTTTTATTATCTCAGATGAAACTGGTTCCAATTAAAGGGGTCTGGAAAAATAAGGCTCGATTGGTGAGATTTTGGCCCGCAACTTGGTTTCAGACCAAGAGCATGGTAGCGCCGTTTGACACTCGGCCTTTGAACTTACTAATATATAGTAGAGCTACTTGACGTATGAATATTTAGTGACCATAACTCTACTATTAAAGTAGAGGTACTTTTTTTAATGAATGTATCATTATAAAACCGTCTGTGACAGGATTTTCTAATTAATTCATTTAGCCAACGAGATTCTTCCACCACAATATGACACCGGTGCAGGCGATTTCGTCGGTGGAGGCAGTGTGGGCAGTGTGGGCACTGTGAGCATCGCTCAGCCATCGTCCGTTTTCGGGACTGGGCTTGTCGACCAGAAAATAAATAGTACGTTGTGCACAGTTGGTACTGCTAACCTGGTAGGTCATTTGCTTGTGTCATTTTGAACGTTATAGCGATTGATCCGTCCTTCTACGACTGCGTATACAACACCTCACTCGGTCAGACGGTTATCGAGAGATGCTATAAAGATCTCGGTTGCTGTGCTACGACTTGCTGTACCAATGAAGACTGGTAATTTTCTTAATCGGCTTTTTTGCTTTCCACTACCTTAACCGGCTTTTTTTTGATTTTTTTTTT